ACACTTTTGACGGCAATTATTAAAACTCGAGTCGATTTCACATGGTTAATTAGCACTGGTAACCACTAGAATTCGGCTTGCCCGGGCTCTATGCATGGCCATAGTCATGAGTGTTGTTTCTCCAGCCGTATGAGAATTTTGCACAAAAACGAGCGCGTTTTACGCGATCGAGCCGAGCTTTAGCAATTGATCATCCCAGTCCTTCTCCTGCCACGAGTCCTATCCGCCCAAACTAGCACCACATCGTCTTCTCTTCCACCCGCCACCCTCCAAACTATGTTACCCATCGCTTGGGGGAACGTCCTCCAAAGTGCGGGAAACACTATTCAAGCGCGAAGAGTTCGTGTATCTGTGGTGTCTCATCTGTGAGAAACGAGTGCTACAAAATATTATAAAACATAAAAGCCGAACCGAGCCGAGTTTCAGTAATGCTACAATTTTGGCAAGTGTAGCACAGAGATACCCAAAAGAGAAAGCACAGGCGAGAAGAAATAATCTTGTATATATTCTTATACATACAAACAAAGATGAAACTTTTTTTTTTTGAGAAACTGGGGATAAGCACAACTAGAACCGGGAGCCAGTCGGCAGTGTGACGGGACTTAATCTAGGCTGGAACGCACCAGGCTCTCCGGTGCGATCATGCGTTTTCGCACTAAACTCGCAGATCGCTATTAGCAGGAATGATCCCTGTGCTGTAGCCTAATACTTGGGCTCATACTGGCCATGCTTTGGGCCCTTCCGGCATGCAGGAAGAAGGGCGTCAGCTGGGATGAAAGTGGTGCATTATAGAGCCGCATGGACATCCAGGTGCCATGATTATCGGTTTTTTGCGTGAAGTCCGGTCATTGTTTCGGTAAATGCTCGCTTTGTGAAAAAAATGACAAATGCAAATTTTTTGAAAAAATGCAAACTTCCAGTTCACTAAAAAGTGGAAGTACTGCTCGAGCGGTCGTTTGTCAAAAAATCCACGTTTACTTACATATACGATTGCGGTTCAGGTCCGAGGTGCGAACGATTTTTTTTGAAAATATGCAAATTTTCTGTTCATTAAAAATCAAAAGTATTGCTCGAACGGTCGTTTTTCAAAAATCCATGTTCATTCGCACATGCAATTGCGGTTCAGGTCCGAGTTGCTAACGATTTTTGGGTTGAGGAGCTGCTTGAGGCTGTGGTTGGGAAGCTAGAGAGCTGAGTTTAAAATTTTTATCTAACATGTGCATAGAGAATATCCCTGCAAAGTTTCAGCTTTCTGCGTTGCCTAGTTCACGAAATCGTTCCCCGCCACCATATTTCTTTGGCGGTCCCGTACGTGGGATGTAGGCGCGTAAGGGGAAAGACCTCAAAACGGGAGGATGACACAAAGGGTAGGAACATATACCCAGTTTCAGCCTCCTAGCTTTCCTGGTTGCTGAGATGAAAGTGGGTGACGAAATGCACTTGCTTTTCGAACACAAACACACAGACAGCCTCTCGACAATACGCGTTTTTGCTGGCTGTACAGCAAAAACGCATAAAAAAATAACAAGGGGTGAAATTGCTCCATGTGGCCTTAAAAAAGTGGGTCTGGGGACGATGCAAATTAAATTATTTCTCATTTCGGCCAAAACGTATAAAAAACACCTGTGCAGTGGCAGCTTTGGATGTGCATTCGCTTGGAGCACGTAAAAGTCGTCAAACTTAGGAATGCTTCGCAGCGGCCACAAATTCAGCGAGCCAGCGGTCTCTGAACAAAACGCACGAATGGCACCGACACAGCGGCAGCAGCAACAGCACTGCTGTGCTTTCGCACGTGATGCCAACACACTAAATTCCACAATAAATAACTGCAGTGACCATTAGCACACTATTTATTGATAGTTTTAGTCTAGTCCATGGTCCTGTGCTATTTTATGGGTGCGAGACGTGGAACACCACTGGAGCAGAAGGGAATAGACCAACAGTGACACAAAGAACGATGGCGAGGCGAATTGTCGGTCATGCTACACTACCCACACGTTGCGGTTACACTTTGGTTGAGAAGTACTAAAATTCGACCTGTAAAGCCAAGCTTTTTTTTTTTTTGGGGGGGGGGGGGGGGGGGGGGGGAAAAAAAAAAAAAAAA